GTCCCTGTCCTCGTCCTTGTCCTTATCCTTGTGGTCATCTTTGTTGATATTTTCAGTTGATGAAGAGTGCGGTAATGTCAAGGACAACTGGTGTGGCTGGGAGAAAGTTGGCAGTAGTGGTAACCAGTGGAAACGAGGAACACTTCAAGACATGATGAAGGTCAAGTTGGTATATTCTTCTAACCCAGGTTTCTGTTAATAGTAATGTGTATTATTATTTTATCTTATACTTGATGACCGAGTAACAAACCAACAAACCAACAAACTACCAATGCAACCAACAAACCAACCAACCAATTATAAACCCACAGTGCAACCGACTCCCCGTTTTTGCTACCAAACGACCACCAACCATCAAACTGTTCGAATTACCGACCTAAAAACCCAGACGTCAATCATTCATCTTTCACTGCTTACAAGCAAACGACCGACCGACCGACCAACCAAACAACCGACTAAAAAACCGACAGGTCAACTATCAATGTCTAATAATCAACCGACCAACCGACCATACAAACGACTGAATTACTATGTACTAAATTAGGTGTCAACAAACTTGTTTTTAAATATTCATTCCGAGCTTTCGGGCTAAACATCCATAATCAGGTAAAATGTGCCCGGAATGAGTATTTAAAAACAAGGTTGTTAACACCTTATTTGCTATATAATATGGATCCAACCTACGAAAATACACTAGACTGAATGGTCCCTTTCCTCATTCGGAATAGGACTGTTCTTTTCTGTGTTCTATGACTGCATTTGTACAGGTTTATCGTCGTTTAAGAGCAATTTATTTGCACAGGCTTAGCACAGGTTTAGCCTAGTTTAAGGGAAAACTATTGCAAAAGTCAACTGTAATGTAATGAATGTGCATGTTGAACAATAACAATGTTTTGAAATACTTTTAATGGTATCTGTGAATAGACGACTTATAAACGAGGGTAAGCCTGTGCCAATGAGTCCGTGGTCTTCAAAAACAGCGTTATGCATTCGAAACTGTTGTAGTATTATAACATAACCAAAAGACCAACCGAAATAAACGCTCACACAAGTTAAAGGACACAGGGTTCGTGCAGGTCCTTGAACTCCTTAAAAAGTGCTGGAATTTAAAATGCATTTTCAAGGGCACTTGAAACTGCTTGAAAATAGAAAAAAAGTGGAAATGTCATTGAATACTCCTTGAAAAAAATTGTCCATGAAAAAATATCAGTAAAGCTTTGAAGATATGTGAAACATGAGTCGTTGTCATTGGTTAAAATTAGAGATTTTCACTACGTCTCGGGAGAAGCGTCTTTTTCTATTATTTTTTAAGTTTCCAGAACTTAGTGGCTCAATGTGCCGTGGATATCACGTGACAAATTCGCACATCTCGATTAGCATTGGCATTTTCTTCACTTTTATTAATACCCAAATAAAACCCTCTTAAGAGTTACTCCTTGAAAAATGTCATTTTGGTCCTTGAATACTCCTTGAAAACTCCTTGAATAATTTCTTGGGAACCTAGCACGAACCCTGAGGACAGTCAGTAGGCCATTTTGCCAAACACATAACATACCAACCCCATCTACTTCCAGGTGATTATGAAGCAAGCTTTTCAGAAAATCATTCTGGGTACATCAACTACACTGGCTTACCGGATATGACGTCATTGACTATATGCATGTGGCTGAAAACCAAAGACCAAAAAAATGCTGGTACCCCGTTTGTTTATCGAGTGTATTCTGAAGATGCTGGTAGCTATGTTATTGCTGTAGCACTATTTGATTACCGAAATATCTTCGTTCATGTAGGCCGGACATATTCGTAAGTAATTTTATTCCACTGTAAAGTATTTCCATTAACTTGTCTTTTAAAGTTGAAAAATTCTTTACCGAGACAATTTTGCCATTTTAGGTTATTCATCCATCTCCACCTCCCTGTTTACTCGCCTACAATACAATTTGTTTTTGTTTATTTTGTTCTTTTTTATTCCCAACTAGTAAAAAACTCAACATCTTCTTGAACGATGGCATTTGGCATCATGTTTGCATTAGATGGAATAATAAAGATGGTTTCATCGCGTTAGTTGTTGATGGAACACAATATAAAGGAACTTCATTTGCACGAGGATATGTGATTCCAGGTATCTATCTAGCTACCATGTTTTATATCAAAACACGTGAAATTGTGCAGCCTCTTTCCCCGTCCAAAAGACCGCATCGACAAGTTAATCAGACTGACGTAGTATAAAAATTAGATGCCTGGAATGTAATTTTTTAAGACCCAAGCTATCATTTGTACTTAGGAAGGCATTGGTAAAAGGTCGAAACGTCTAAATTACAAAAATTAAACACAAAACATGAAATACTATTAATAATATGAATTCTGATTAGAAATTTAAGATATTTACGTGAAAGAGCGTTTCATCCGATTTCCAAATACCGAGAAGTTGGCTGGAAAAAAACGAGGCGGAGCCGAAGCTGAAACACTCTTCCAAGTTCTTAATATTGCTTCTCAAACTATTAATTATTCTTGGAAATTTTTAGACTATTAATAATTCTTGGAGAAATTCAAAACATAAGTTGCCCAAATTTGATCTAAATAGACCCTTTTCGAGTTCTAAATTACCGCTGTGTTCCTTGATTACAGACTCATTTGCACAGGCTTAGCCTCGAATCAGTGTTTAAATATTCACAAATACCAACGGTAAAGTCAAGAATGCACAACTCCAACGTAACAAACACTTTGAAATTCGACGGGTCTTGGCTGAAACACGTTAATATTCTACACAAAATCGAGGCTAAGGCTGAGTAAATGAGTCTGTAATCAAGGAACACAGCGGTAATTTAATTGGAACTCGAAAAGGGTCTATTAAGATCACATTTCCAAACCTTTACGCTAGGGATTTTCTTAGTTTTGTACTCGTGAATTGTTATTGAGTTAGACAAGTAAGCTAAAAGACTATGGCAAGTTTTTTAAAGCATACTTTGTTACTACTTTTTTTTTTTTTTCTTTTCAGGAAATGGAGAATTTATTATAGGAGCAACATCGTCTTATTCTCGCTTGGTTAATGGCAATGTTGGTCAGTTTGTTGGAACAGTTAGTGACGTTAACATATGGACTTACTTGATCTCAGTGAAAGATATCAAGCTTATGAAACTTGGGTGTGGAGGTCAGCTAAGTAAACCACTCATGAGCTGGGATCTCTTTAAAGATTTCTTCGTTGGGAATGTAACTGTAAGACAGTCCGCTTCATGTAAAGACATGGAAGGTAATTTAGCATAGAATTCTTTATCATTATTCAACGGTTCAAAATTCGAAGAAAGAAGGAATTGTTAGCAATGGAAGAGATTTTTTGTTTTCGAGCATGTCTGCAAAAAAATCACATTTTCTATAACGTTGACTTTCACTTTTGGACCTCAACGAGTACTGAGGGAGGCTAGGCTGGCTAATTTACTTACCCTTGTTTGGTAGTTTGAATTGTTTTCTTAGGGCGCGCGAATGGCGTTATCAGCCAGGGCCCAGTTGTACGAAGGGTGAATAGCGCTATCCGACGAATAAATCTTATCCAGTGGATAAATTTATTGGATATCAGCATCGACTTATCCACTGGATAAGGATTTGTCCGTTGGAGAGCGCTATCAACCCTTCGTACAACCGGACCTAGGATACCGGACCGAGAGCAAAAATAGCAAATACAGCCTAGTCGCGCAGCCAATCAGATCGCACGATGTTTTTCATACCTAACCAGTAAACATTAACTTGTATATATATATATATGAATTTTTTTCATTATTTCAAAGTCAAATTACAATTTTTTATTGGTCAGGCGTAAGAGTTTTTATGGCGTCAGACAATGCTGCAAGTGATCCTGGTATGATGTCATCTATCTACATGAGCCCAATCTTCCGAAGCTCGCACCTTTCTTATGGTCAGTGTCTGAGGTTCCTGTATTTGATATACGGACCAGGAACTCGTAAACTGCGTATATATCAGCATTTAAAAGTGGACAACTTTGTTAAGAGACTAGTGTGGTTTGTTAATACATCGAACAGTACAGACTCTGCATGGCATTATGGGAAGGCATCAATTTCAGGTGTATCTGAATTCAAGGTTTGTACTTTTTCTAAATTTTGACTGACATTGTGTCGTGACCGTAACCATGCCATGTCATGGCAAAGATCTCGTGGACTGTGTAATTGTGTAAATGGTTCTGAAGATGTTGCCATTTCAGTGCTGTTCCATTACCGTAACCGTACCATGGCTGAACATTTTGATTTCAATGATGTGGGGCTCTGTAATTGGTTCAGAAGATGTTATTGTACCAACCGTTCCGTTACCGTAACCGTACCATGGCTGAGCATTTTGGTTCGCAATGATTTGGTGCACTGTGATTGGTTCAGAAGATGTTGCCATTTCAGTATACGTACCGTTCCGTTACTGTGACGGTACCATGGCTGAACCTTTTGATTAGCAAAGATCTTGTGCTCTGTGATTGGTTTTGAGCGTGTTACCATTTTCGTACCGTAACCGTTCCATTTCACAGTCATAAGAACTGAACTCTATGATTATCCAACGGTTTTTCTTGGTTTAATGTAACCATTAATTATTTTTCTCTTTAGATTTCCCTAGAAGGAACTCAGGGGAACGAGCCGGGTTATATCGCAGTCAAAGGAATAAATGTTGCAGATGGCTATTGTGAAACATTGAATACGAATGTGAACAGAGGTAACGGCATATAACTATCACCATTATTATATTATATCCAGCCCCTTATTCTTGTTAGTTTACTTCAAACACCTGTCAAAACCAAACGGCATTTCTGTTTGAAAAGTGATATTGTTGGTTAGGATTAGTGTGTGCTGCATAACGCTATTTCAAAAAAGGTTGAAGGATGAACAGCGAACGGCGATTGGACCTTTATCACACGGCGGCCATGCTTATTCTCATGACAATAAAAACCTTTGTTTCCCCAGCATAAATTAATTCTCAAGCGCGTGAATTTGAGGTTAGATGTGGTGGAATCTATTGTTCAATCCAACATGGCTGCCGCGTGAATAAGGCCCATGGCGATCATTGATTGGAGATTGCACGACCGAAAGGAACTGTGGTCACACTATCAAGCAGATATGAATAGAATGCCAACCGCATCAACTTGCTATTGAAAGCAATTGCTGAATAATGCAGGCATTGTTTAGGTACTACAGAAATGATTATAAAGAACTTCTCATTACCCCTCAGTTCATTTCGGTCATGCATGCAATCGCCAATCACTGATCGCCATTCTCCATTGGCCCATTCAACCTTTTTTGAAATAGCTGTATGTTCCACATGTTAGAAGAAAGCAAGCTATATTACTGCGGTTTTCCATATTCTGACATTTCAACTGCTTGTTGTGAAACTGTTTTTAACTACCGCCAGTCAAGACTGACATAAAAGGTTCTGACTGATTATCTTTGATTGACGGCAGCGAAAAACCAAAATCCAGCGTGCAACTCGCAACTACCGAGTTCGCAGAATATAAAAAACCACAGTAATTGTATTCAAAATCTTCTATCCAACCCCTTTATTACTTTCTTAGTTTACTTCAAACGCCTGTCAAAGCCAAGCGGTATTCTTCATTCTTCATTCTATCCCGGGTACTACACCCTCAACGAGCAATCCACCTGGTACATCAAAGTCAAACCAGATCACTTTATTCGTCTCTATTTCCTATCCTTTGACTTTGAAGACGATCAAGTATGTGTAAAGGATTCCGTCTCAGTCTATGATGCTGGAAAAATAAAGAGGATTGGGAAATATTGTGGTTCCCGTTATCCACAGTTCGTTGACTCATCAAACAATGTTATGATCGTGGTCTTCAAAAGCGATGAGGATATCATTCGAACTGGTTTTAAGGCGCGATACGAGGCTATACCAAGTAAGGAACAATAAAAAATAAACATTCATATTTTTTTCTGCATTAAAAATGCAGGGAAAAAAAAAAAAAAAAAAAAAAAAAAAAAAAAAAAAAAAAAAAAAAAAAAAAAAAAACTACAGTTCGGTGTGTATATAATGAAGTAGAGAGAATAAGAGAAAAATATCAAATAAACCGAGGCTAATGAGGATGAATTTCTCACCGCCAAACTCATCC